GCTCCCAGCAAACAGAATCCTACAACAGGCAGAAATAGTTCCAACTACATGTGACCAAACAGACCTTAAGACCCCTCTAATCTTAAAGACGAAATATATAATGATCAACAGATCAAATCATACAGAAGATATAAAACCTATATGCAGCTCAAGTCAGGGCAACCATTTCACAAAACATTACAAGAATGAGCCGGACCCCAACAGAGCAAAAGTGGGGACATCAACACCTCACTTTCACCAGTGGGCAAATCAAATCAAACTTCAGAATTGAACTGTACTCTCAATTAAGAGATATTTACCCAGCACTCCATCCAGCACTTGTAGAATATACTTGCTTTTCAGCACTGTTTGGCCCCTTCCTCTGTGATAGGGCAAACACGGGGCCACAAAACAAGCCTCAAAGTAAAAACTACTGAAATCATATCTTGTACTTCTTCTAATCACAGGGGAATGAAACCAGAAGTCAACAGCAGAAACTTTAGAAATTATCTAACTACATAAAGATTGAACAACTCACATTTTAGAACAAACCCTGGGTCACTGAGGAAGCCAGAAGGGAAATTTAAAAATGTTCTGAAATAAATGAAAATGGAAACAAAACATACCAAAAATCTATGGGATACAACAAAAGCAGTACTGAGAGGAGAGTTATATACATTAAAAAAGAAAAATTTCAAATATACAACTTAACCTATGATCTCCAGGACTTAGAAAAATAAGAACAAACCAAAGCCAAAATTAGCAGAATAAAGATTGGAGCAGAAATAAATGAAGTATGTTAAAAAGTTACAAAAGACAAATGAAATCAAACAGTTGGTTCTTTGAAAAAATAAACTTGACAAAACTTTAGCTACACACATACAGGCCAAATCAGAAATAAAAAAGCAAGCATTACATCTGATACCACAGAAATATAAAGGGTTACTAGGAATTATTTTTAAAAACGATGCTAATATATTGGAAAATCTGGATAAAATCAACAAATTACCAGACATACAACTCACTAAATTGAACTGAGGATACAAAAAACTTGAATAGATCAATAATAAATAAGTAATAAAACAATCAGAAATAGAATCTCCTAACAAAGAAAAATCCAGGCCTGAATGGCGACACTATTAAATTTTTACCAAACTTTTTTTTTTTCTTTCTTTCTTTTTATCGGTACCGGGGATCGAACTCATGACTGCCTGCTTGCAAGGCAGATGCTTATGCCGCTGAGCTAAATCCCCAGCCCCAAATTTTTACCAAACTTTTAAAGCACACAGATGCTTAAACTATTCTATACAACTCAAGGGAGGGAACCCTTCCAAGCTCATTCTATGAAGCCAGCATTATCCTTTACTAAAACCAGACAAAGACAGACAGATACATGTGCAACAAAACTGTGGACTGACAGTCCTCATGAACAGACATACAAACACTAGAAAACTGTGTTTGATAGTGCATGAAAAAGCTGATACACCATGATCGACTTGGTTTCAACCCACTGGGCTCCAGGATGGTTCAACAGGTGCAAATCAAACAAAACACATCACAGAAACAGAATCAAGGACTAACTCATCATCTTTGCAAATGTAGAAAAAGAATTTGATAAAAGTCTTGCACAAATGAGGTACAGAAGGGTCACACCCCAACATGACAGAGAGTACACGTGACTACTCACAGCCCATATCACACATCGGGAAGAAGCTGGAAGTGGATCTTCTAAGCCCAAGAACGAGACAAGGGTCCACTCTTGCGGATTTCAGCCAACACAGTGCTCAGAGTTTTAGCCAGAGCAGTTAGGAAAGAGAGAGAAGGAAAGAGTGCATATGAATAGCGAGGACAAAGTCAGGTGAGTCCCCTTTGCAGATGACACGATTCTATACAGAGAAGCCTGCAGACTGCACCAAGAGACTAACAGAACTGATAGAGGAAGCCAATAAAGCACAGCACGCCAACGGCAGGGCCTTCTCTCCGCACCACTAAGAGACTGGAGGAGAAAGGAACACGAGTGACGCCATCCACGCTGGCCACAAATATAGTAGAAATAAACTAAGGAAATGGAAGCTTTCTACACTGAAAGTTATAAAACAGTGGTGAACAAAATTGAAGAAAACATTGAGATGGAAAGACCTCCCACGACTTAATACTATTAAAATGCCCCTAACACTACCCACAGCCGTCCAGTACAATGTCATCAAACTACCAATGATATTCTTTAAGAACAAGTGTGTCACTCACTTTCTGTTGCTGTGACAAAATACTTGAGAAAATCCACTGAAAAGGAGAAGGTGTATTTGGGCCCATGGTCTCTGAGGTTTCGGTTCATAGCAGTTTCTGTTATGGGATTGTGGCAGGCAGTGTGGAGTGGAACAGATCTGCTCACCTCATGGCGCTGGATAGCACAGGCAAAAAGGAAGGGGTTGAACCCTGGTGTCACCCTCACAGGCACGCCTCAACAGCCTGACTTCCTTTCTCCAGGCCACCTTCTTACAGGCTTTACCACTTTCCAGTAGCAAATCATCACAGCACCACGCCTTCAACACATAAGCCTTTGGGAGACATTTAAGATTCACATAACAACTAAAATAAAATCCTAAACTTAACATGGGAGCACAAAAGACCCCAACTAGCCAAAGCAAGTGTAAGCAAAAAGAACAAAACCGGAGACATCATACTAACTGATTTTAAGATACACTATAGAGCTACAATACCCAAAACAGTATGGTACTGGCTTGAAAACAGACATATAGACCAATGGAACAAAACAGAGATCAAGAAATAAATTCACACACTTATGACCAACTGATTTTTGCCAAAGGCACCACATGTGGGAGAAAAGGCAGCCTTTACACAAGTAGTACTGGGAAAATTGAATGCCTGAATACATAAATTTGATCTGTTGACATCTTTCAAAAATCAACTCAAAATAGATCAAGGACCTAAGTGTAAGACCTGAAACTCTGAAGCTATTAGAAAGAAAAAAACAGCAGAAACCCTTCAAGACAATGATACAGGCAGTAATTTTCTGAACAGGACCCTAAAATGCACATAAAATAAAAGCAATAATACACAAACTGAGATTATAGCAAACTAAAATGCTTCTGCACAGCAAAGCAAACAGAGTTAAGAGAGTCTACAGAGCTGGGAGAGCTCACCTGTCAGCTATCTGTCTGGCAGAGGGTTAATACCTACAACATTGGAAAACGAATCCACTGGACAAATGACCTCAATGGACACTTCTCAAAGGAAGAGATACAGATGGCCAACAAACATATGAATAACTGCTTAACATCATTAGCCACCAATGCCAATTAAAAACTACCATAAAATAACACCCCAGCCCAGGTAGAATAAACATTATGGGAAAAAAAATGCTGTGGAGGATGCAGAGAAAAGGAACACTGATAAACTATTAACAGAAGGTAACTAGAGTCACTATGGAAAACAGCATGGAGGGTCCTAGTAAATAAAAAAGAGACCAGTTAGCCCACTCCTGGGCACACACCCAAAGGAAGAGACATCCGTGTATGAAACCCACCTGCTGCCGATGTGTATTAAATTAGCTAAGGACACACCCAAGCGACAAACGGATAAAGAATACCTGTTTACTATGGTCACAGAGTGTCACTCACCCATAGAGAATGGAACCCTGTTAGCTGCTGTATATGGACGACATTGTGCTAACAGAAATAAGACAGACACAGAAAGACAGGGAGCAGGAAGGGAGGAGGGCATGTGTGCACATCTGCGCGTGTGCACACGCACGTGTAGAAATATGGCTGGATATGACCAGACTTTGGGGGTATATACAAACGCCACACTGAATCTCGCTGATATATATGATACACATTAATAAAATCAGTGAACAGTTTACTGAATAACCTTCAAGAAAGTACACTATAACCTCTATTTTTCTAAGTCTAACTTCCTGTCTGCCTGCCTTCCCTCCTTCCCTCTCACTCTTGTTTATACTGTATCAACAGATGCCAGGAGGGCTGTCCACCCAGTATCAGCGGTAGTTACTGCAAGGGGGTGTAATTAGAAAATTGTATTTTTCTGCATTAAACGGTTTATATTCAACATATGTCACATATCCCAAAAATTCAGCCATGTTTTTTCTTTTCCTTCTTCTATTTCAGCTCTCTTATGCACGGACTGGACAGGCCACTGCCCAAACCCAGTGGCCTTCCCCACGCCAGCCTCGCCCCGCAAGGTCTCACATCACTAACCGTGTGGGCATCTGGTCCCAGGCGGCACAGCTGTGCCCTCGGTCCCTGAGCCCCGCACTCCCATCGGTACGCTGTAAGCGGGAGCGGTTCTTCCAGCCTCCTGCTCTGTGCGCACCCCACAGTGATTTTTCTCAAAAGCAGAAAACAAAGTAGAAAATAAAACAGTAAAACCCTGAGACACGAGGGAGGAGGAGGGAGACTCTGCCGATATGACTGCCTTTCTCACGGGGCGACTCTGTCCAGGGCTCTGTCTGGGGCTCCCTGCCCCCACAGGTGGGCTCTGGCCTCCTCCACACTTGCTGTGTGGAGACGAGATCAAGCCCGGCCTGCACAGCATCCCCCCCAAACCACTTTCTCCATCCTGGGCTTTTTGGGGTAGAAAGAAGGAAGAGTTTGTTCCTTTTTCCTTTCAAACGCTACAGACCTTCTGCTAGAATGCGTGTGCGTGCGTGCGTGCGTGCGTGCGTGCGTGTGTGTGTGTGTGTGTGTATGTATGTGTTTTTTCCTGCCCTGAGGCCAACAAATCTTTCTACGACTGCTGAGCACTGTCACAAACACCTGTATTCCCGACATCCCTGTGGCCAAAGCCTCTCCTGAGTGGGGGGCCAGGAGCCCTGGCAAGTGCAAGGTCAAGTTCAATCCCCGGTACCAAAAAAAAAAAAACAACAACAAATGAAACAAAACAAAAATCTTTTCAATGATGAAACTCACTTAGCGATGACATCTAGGTTTCACAGCAGACATTTACTGGCGCAGGGCGATGCTCTGGAGGGGCAGACGTACCTCTTTAGCTGCCGATGAAGAAATTGCTTTACTGTCCAGCAGGTCGAGAAGTCCAGCGAGTGCAGAGGGCGTGATGGGACTGGTGGCCCCCAAAGGAAAAAGAGAAAGTAGGCTTGCATTTCACATTGGCAGGGGACCCATGAGTGGGGATCAGCACCTGAACACTTGCTCTCTTACATTAAATTATCAGGAGCACCAACGGGGACAAAGTGACAAGTCAAGTGGGCGGGCATTTTACTTATTTTGTATTTTAGGATGTAACAAATTCTTGGGACTGGTGTTTTTTTCCCCCTTATTTTACCACCCAATAATGACAGCTGTTTGGCAGAAGTTGTAGCAATAGACAAATGCTCAGTGTAATTAGTTAAAAAAAAAAGTGGCTGAAAAATTCATGAACCACGAAGAGAAAGAAAAATATTCAGTAATTAAATATTTTCAACTGAAAGATCAGCCTAAAAATTACTTCAAACAAAACAGCTAACAAAGCCACTTTTGTGAGTGTTTCTATGCAAATACAAATTCCTTTTAATTGTGAGAGATTTTCCATAAGGACACAATGTCTACCAGCTCCATGGTCCCCTGTCCTCACGGGCCCTCCACACTCTCCGTCCTCTGCAGTTCACAGCAGCTCCGGAACACACAGGGCTCAGTACATCTGCGCTTCTACCACATGACTTATTTACCCAGGGCCCGTGACTCAGAGCCCGCCAGGAAGCATCAGTTCACAGTCACAGGGGATGAGGGGTGTGGCGAGGTGACCGAGGAGGAGGAATTCTGCACTTCACCAGCAACACACGGCTTGGCTGCTTGCGCTCCCTCGTGACTAATGATGCTGTCTCAGGGCACGAGGGACAAGAGTGACATAAAGCATGCACGAACGTGTCTGCATAAGTGCAGGCCTCAGAGATGCTCCAAGCGCTGACGACACCTCTGGGTAAGCACCGGTCACCGTTATTCACTGTCCATTTACTTGGAAAGGACTAAGCTTAGGCCTCGTGTTGATTTCCACGAACTCCAAACCAACAGGCTCCCCCTTAAAGTGTTTGTCCAAAGTTCTGCTGAAAGGTAATTCTGAGTGGAAATCAAGTCTGGGGAATACCTGGCTTACTAAGTTAGCATTCAGAAAGGCTGTGATCACTCTATCAAACCCTGAAAGGAAGGGCAGCAGAGGGCTGAGAAATCGGCCAGTCTCCTTCCCGACTTCCCATCCTCACTGACAAGCGTGGGGTCGGGGGTGTCTGGAGTTGTCGCTATGGGGATTCTCATAATCCCAGAAAACACAATCGCCACATGTCCCCAGGAGACACTGTGCAGAACACACCTAGGTCTCGAGACCATGCAGGGGACCAAATCCCCAGCCCCATAGGTACAGAACCCCACAGGCAGGTGCCTTATGAACGACAGAACCCCTTCCTCACAGGGTGCAAGGCTGGCACGCTGGAGAGGAAGGCGCCAGCACAGTGTCTGCTGAGTGTCACGGTGTCATCACTCTCAGTGACAGCGCCGTCTGTGTCCTCACAGGCGTTAGAGGTGTGCTAGCTCTCTGGGGCCTCCTTCCATAGGGCATTAGTCCCTCACAGGGGTGCAAGTCCCTTCACCTTCATGACTCGATCACTCCTGCTGCAGGCCCTACTGCCTAGCACCCTCATCACCGTGGGGCTCAGGGTGTCAACATGGGGTTCTCAGGCAGACAGAAACCAACACGAGCCATGGCAGTGACATAGCAGACAGACAGGTGGAGAGGGATCGATAAAGAACACATAATAACTAAAAATACCTACCCTGTGGGAGTCCACCAACTGACCTTCATTGGTTAGTTATGTTATACATTCACACTGACCTAACACCACTCTGTTCCCTACCATGACTCCTATCTAGACCCCCATCTAGGTGGGGCTTTTCAGAGCTGGCTGGACCCACAGTGTGTGAATATGCATTAAGGCTGTGTGGCCCTAATTAATCCTCTGACAAGACTGGTTAGCATACTTCTGGATGTGGATAAAATGGGAGGCTTCACCCTGGGTGTGGGAGGGGCCATCAGCAGGCTTATAGCCTAGACAGAGTATAAGGGACAGAAAGAAGGTAGGCAGCAGCTTGCTACTTCCTGCCTGCCCTGCCATGGACTGTTTCCTGCATGCCACTCTGCCTTAGAGTCAGCTGAGTACAGACAGAATGCCTGTCCAGCCTCCTGTATACTTTAAATCGTTTCCAGATTTCTTATATTTAATATACTGTACAAACTGTCATTATACTATATTGCTTAGGGAGTAATAATAAAATCTGAACAGTTCAGTGTAGATACAATTTTTTCCTTCAAATATTTTCAATCTACAGTTGGTAGAAGCCACAGATATGCAGAACCCACCTAGGGTAGGACTGTATAACTTCTGATATGCCAGAATTAAACTTGAGTAATGGTGGCAAAGATCAGTATCTGTCATATCAACCCTTGAAGACTGCCTCCTCTGTTAAATAAACAAACCCTCAGATTTCAGACACCATGGCAGCACAAGCACAAGCACAAGCTAACAACTCGCTGCTGTCAGGTGACAGTGGATTCTGGACAGCGGCCGGGTCTCTACTGAAGAAGAACATGGCATTGCAAGCTTAAGCTTCGAATGCTGTCTCTTTTCTAGCTCTCCAAGGCCAGTGTATCCAGAGAGGCGGGGGAAATGGGGCCTTTCAAATCTACTGATTTTTCATCCAATCCTTGGTGCCCTGCAGGATCAACATTCCACCTCCAGTCGATTCCTGGAACAGCGCCTTGCCAATTCCCAGCACTGCTCCAGCCCACAGAGGGACGGCTGTCCTGAGTCTCACGCTTGGCCTAGGTCAGGGGTGTGAACCGATGGCATGCATGCTGCAACGGCCTGTTTCTGCTGTTTTTTTTTTAAAGACATAAGCTATTAATGTCTGAGCTGTTTTTCCTGAACTAAAACCTCAGTGTTAAGGTTTGGTTGCAGAGTTGGCACTCTGCCATAAACAAGTGGCTTTGGGGTTGTGCTTCGGGCTCTCTGTCTCTGAAAGATTCGCTGCCACTGTCCTGGGTCCAAGTCTCCCTTCTCCACTTCTACTAATGGAGAACCCGAGAAGCTCCCAGAGGAAGATGAGGCACTCCAAGTGCTGCTCTCCGATCCTTTGCTTTCTCTCCCCAAGCCCACAGTGCCCCGCCTGACCCCCCAACTCCCGACAGCTGCTCTAGACAGCCTCCTTCCTATCCCACCCCTTTCACGTCCTGCTCCTACGTCTTCTACGGTGGTCTTCTGCTCCCAGCCAGCACCGCTCCACGCATGCTCTCAGTTCCATCACTTTCCAGCCCTAGATTCCTGCTTCTGCCCTGCCGCTTTCATCTCACCCTTCTCAAATGCTCAGATCTTCTCCAGCTTGAACGTGCTGCCTGCTGATCCGACCTTGCAGCCAGCTGATCTGCTTGGCTGCTCATCAGACTTCTGCCCATAAAGATCCAGCCTTAGTGGTTGCAACTGCTACAGGCACAGATCACTGGAATTGTACCTCAACTCTCTACAAAAACTCTCACCTTGTAAACCACCCCCTACTTGCTGCCAAGCAGCCAACTTTCCCCGCTTTACTCCAAATGCAGCCCTGTGAACAGCCCGGCCTCCTGGATGATCATCCAATCTTGGTCTTGACTATCACTTTCCACTTCTGTCCACTGCACCTCCCCACAGCCCCTCCTCTACGGTTCAGGCCACCTTCCCCACCTCTCCCGATGATAGTGGCGCCCCACCCCCCGGCCACCTGGGTGCCGGGCACTTCCTCTGTCTACAGAAGAGCGAGCATCTGTCCAGGGCCACTGCTGCTGCTCCTGATCTGCTCTCCACCTGCTTCATTTGCTGCTGTCCTGGGAGGTCCCAAACTCACCCAATACCTGTCCTGTGCCAGGGCTGTCAACTTCTGGGAAGAGCCAGACAATGAGCATCTGAGCCTCGGGGCCACATGTGGTCCCAGGCAGTCTGTGCTGCCTGGTGACTGCAGCTGGGAACTGAAGGCCCCGCAGATGCTGACTATGCCCCCAGCTGAGCCATAGCCGGCAACCTCCCCTTTTGAGAGCAAGAAGGCAGACATTTCTGCTTTACAGTGCACAAGAAACAGGCCCCAGGCCCACGTGCCAGAGTTCGCCCAGCCTTGTTCTCAGCTGAATGCACCTCCCCAGGGCAGCTCCTCCATGGTTCAGCCCACCTTCCCCGCCTCTCCTGATGACAGTGCTCCTCCTTGGCCACCTGGGAGCAGATCTAAGCCCTTGCTCGGCCACCTAGGAGCTGATCTAACCATGTACTGTGCTGTCCTTGCTTACTCCCGCTACACCACACCCCAGGGATCCCTTTCTCCACCCTCCCAACTCACCTTCTTTAACAGGGCTGTCATTACAGCCTCTGCAGCCTCTAAAAGGCTCCCAATCCTGCAGCCCACGCCTTGGATGCTTTCCTGGATCACTCTGCTGAGCTAATCCGCTCCCCTACGGACACCCCTTCTCAGCACAAGTTTCCCTGGATGGGTGTCACCTGGTGACTGCTGCTGGCTCTGCAGCTACAGCCCTGGTGTCAGCCATATGATCCCTAGAGACTGAGGCTGCTCATTAATTAACCACTTACCAGTCCAATTATGTAAATATGGGTGGACAAAAACTGCATGTTTTTCATTAATTTTGTAAGAGAATATAGGAAATATAAAAAAATTTTATCAAATTTATTATAAGAATCACCTGGTTGCAATGACACTTGCCTGAGTGATACTCAGGACAATCAGTATTACGGTTTGTGTCTGGATGTCCCCCCACAGCCTCATGCAGTCACAATGGGGCAATCCTGGGATGAAGAGCCGGTGATTGCTGGATCAGTCCACTGACTGGACTGACACCACCCTAATCCCAACAGACTGGATACAATATAAGAAGTTTGGCTCTTGTTGCTTTTGCCATCTTTCACGGCTACAAACTGTTTTCCCACTGCCATGTGCCACCCTGTCTTACAGCCAACTGATTATGGACTGAAATCTCCACAAATTGTGAGCTAAATAAATCTTTTCTTTTCTAACCTTGGGTTTTGGGTATTTTGTCTTAGCAAAGATAAAAGACAGCATGTAAACAAAGACACTGCCCCAGCAACACTTGGGGTTAACGCTGCCCCAAGTTGGGCTGACCTGTCTGCTGCTGTGTGCCTCTCAACTCTTGCTGAAGCCCTGAGCACAGGAGGTGGGACCAGGTGAGACTGTGAGATGTGCTTAGGACTCTGCACCCATCCATGGCTGGGCCTGCGTGAGTGGGTCTACTCCAGGCCAGCTGGGCCCCTTGCAAGCTCTGTTTCACCACTGGGATGCACGACTGGCTTCACAACTCCCTGTGTCTGATCTGTTCTTCTGCTCTGCTGAAGACAGACCTGTGCCTCTCCAATATGACAGGACGGGCATTTGGGAGGTGGTTAGGGGTGGGTAAGGTCATGAGGGTGGGGGCCCCAGGTTAAGACTGGTGCCCTGCAAAGAGAGCTTTCAGAGTCTCTAAATCCCCCAAAACCATTCCATATGAAGACATAGCAAGAAGATGGCCCTGTGCACCCAGGAAGGGACCTGAACTGGCAAGTACCTTGATCTTGGACTTCCCAGCTTCTAGAGCTGGAAGGAAGTGTCTGTTTACACTGCCTGGTCTGGGAACATTACAGCAACACAAGCTAAGTATGCTATACTGTATTTTCCCAGGGTTGAAGTGGAGTGGAGCTGTGAGCTGAGGCTTTGTGAGAAAGTCCTCGGGGGGCCCTAGTCATCTCTTCAGCTCTGTCCCCACCTTTCCTGCCTGCCTGAGAGTGCCAGTCTCCAGGTTTCCTGAACCCGCCATGGCTATGTTTTCCCGAGCACTACTGCATTCTTTGTGCAGATGCCCTTTTCCGTCCTCAGGGTGCGGCTCAGGCCCCAGCCCCTGGGAAGCCCTGGTTGACTGTGTTGCCCAGTCCAGCACCCAGGCCGTTACGCAGTGTATCTACCCTGCCAATATCATGCAGGAATGACAGGCTGCTTTCCCAAGACCTGCAGCTGCTGCAGGGGTGAAACCCACCTCAATAACCATCAAGCTGTCTGGCCATTGCACAGTCAGAGATGTGGACAACAGACGAAGTTCAGGGGATACAGGGTAGTTTTAGAATCTGGAGCACAAGGGGTCTGCTGTCTAGCAGGAGACTCTCACAGGGCGATGTGCAGGGGGAGCTTGCCCCATCCCCCTTTGGCAGCAGCCCCACCCGTACTCACCTCTCGTTCACAGCCAGGTTGTGCTGCTTTAAATAGCCCAGGAGCACGTTGAGGACCCAGCTCGTCACCTTTTTTGGCTCTGCCCTAGTTTCTTTCATCACACTTTGGAAGAACTGCAGCAGGCCAACTTCATTCTGTGAATAAAAAGAAATGCTACAGAGCATCCAGAAAAACGAAAGCTCAGCATTCCCAAGGCAAATCCGTAACTGCCGTGCTCGGGGTCCCAGAGACACCATGGGAAAACCTGACAGTGTTCAGGGAACAGCAGCCACTAGGCTTCTGCTACAGCAAGCCTGCATCCATATGGTGTTGCATTTCGAAGGAAGCGAGCCCTGAGGACCGTGATACTCACAGCCCGGCTCGTCCACCCACCCACAGCACCACGTGGCGTCTGCCCCTTTCCCCCCAGCCTTGGCCTTTGCAGGAGAGAGCCCTGGTGACTCTTGGAAAGTAGGTAAGGAATGGAGCAAATCAAGAAGGAGGGGACAGAATATTCCACCTCTGACAAAGCTAAAAGTGGTCACAGCTGTGTGTGGTGTCTGGCCACCATTGCGAGGCTCCCTGGCCAGAACATCCTGTACGTGGGCCCTGCTGACCTCGGGGTTTCCGCAAGCTCCGCACAGGTGCTCAGCTCAGAAACCTGTTTCTGGGAGGCTCTGCCACATGTCACCCTCTCGACTGTCCGCTGCTTAAGTTAGGGCCATGCTGTTCTGTCCGCTCCATAACCAGCACCAAGTTGGCACCTGGGAAGTTGCTCATGCCAAACCACAGCAGAGGGACTCTCGAGTGTCCCTGACCATGCATGTGCTGGCTGAGATTCTGGAACCACCAAGGTCATGCATAAGAGTGACTGGGGCACTTGTCAGCACAAGTCATGCGTGAGAGTGACTGGGACACTTAGCAGCACACGGCGATTTGGCAAAACCTAGAAATTTATCAGGTGTTCAGAGAACAAAAATTAAAACAGGCATCATTCTAGAACAGGCTGCAGCTGCCCACAGCAGAGGGCAGTGTTTTCAGGAGCAGATTCCCCAACTGCTGAAATCCAGGCCACACTACGCTTTCCTTGACATTCCACTTATATTACAGCTAAGGGTCCCACCTTCATGAACTGAAAGAACTTTCTGGAAAAAGGAGACCTTGGGGGAAGAGCACCCCATACTAACCGAAGCTAATACCCATAGCTAAGCTGGTATAGACACAGGCACACAGATGCTAAGGTAGAAATTCCATTAAAAAAATCTGCATGCCCTTTGGGACACAAATTCCCTGGAGACAAGCCCACTGCACACTCCCATAATCATGGTGCTGTCCTCTCCAGCCAAGGCTGTTGTTCTGCTCATGCTAAACCACAGCAAAGACCACCTCAGCAGCCCATCTGACTAGCGATAAAGGCAAATCCAGGAAGAAGAAGAGGAAGGCAGTGAGACTGCAATCATGGTGTGCAAACCACTGGTGAATGGGGACCCGATCACATGAGTGGCACTGCCCCTGTTCCCAACCAGGCGGGCTGGCAGGCGAAGTGTGCGTCAGAACTCGAGCTGCCCAAGAAAGGCTTCTGAAATCCACCTAGAAATACAGCGCTGGGGCCGAGGCTTGGCCGGTGGCTGGGCCATGATGAATATCTACTCCTCTACCCGTGGGTGGTTTTATTGGATTGATAACGTGGCAAGGCAGATTTCTGTTTGTCTTTCATGTCAGCGCTGTGATGAAGCCTCTCCAAGCTGGGACTGTACTCCAGTCGGGGATACGCAGTATAAAGCAGATGTGAAAATCTGCGATGGGCAGCAGGGCTGAGGGAGGCTGCCTGGAGTGATGGATCAATAAGCCGCTCCGGCTGCCCGCGCTCCGGGGGAATATGCAGGCACTCTGCTCTTCCAGGCCTTTTAGTTCTTCTGTGAGGCAGGCGAACACTCAGAAACTTGGTGCCAATCGAGGAAGTCTCTGGTGAATGTGGCAGTGCGGCCATCTGGTTTTCTCTGAGAAAGTGTGGACTGCTAATTCCCTGACATAAAAACCCTATTAAGAGCAATGCAGAAAGATCCCTGCAGCAGGGGTCCTCAGCATCTTCCCCAAAAGCTGCAAGCACACACCTGTCCTTCATAGGACAGAAGTGAAACTGGACATGGCAATGATGGGACTCCCACTTTCCTTCAGGGACAGTTAAAGCAGCGGGACCACAGGCCGGGTCTTACATTTGTACCAGACAGTCTCACATGTCTATGACCAGAAAGCATCTTTTTCACATTTTGATCAAATTTCCTGCAGCATCAGATTACACCCAGAGCCAACGCAGGGCAGGCAGCCTCTGGACACCGGCAGGAGCTGTCCACTGCTGAAGTCCCTGGCCCGCAGTGCTGCAAGAGGCAATGTGGTTACTTGCCCTTGCATTCACTGCCTGCTCTGGGAAGGAGCCTGGGTTCACCCTCACGCTGATCTCTCACATCTGCCTTCCAGATGACAGTGATGGCAGACCATGCAACTGGAAGAGGACGAAGGCCGATTTCTTAATTGTATTTATTGTTCTAAGTCAGGTGCAGAGTGAACCCGATGATGTTCCAGGAGTGAGGCTGGACTCTATTTATAAGCAGAATGAAACCTGAGAGAGACAGCTGCCCAGGGCAGACCAGGAGGAGAAAAGGCAGCCCAGAGAGCACATACCCAGGGACAAGACAGCTGGTTATGTGATGGGAGTGTCCTGGAAGCTCTGAGGGACCTAGATTAGCATTCCTGGGCTGTTTGGGTACCCTCAAGAGTATTTACTAAGCACCGCTACCCCACAAACTGGGGACCTGGAAACATAGTACTTTGTTCCTATGCATGCATAACTATGATAAAACCAGGCACAGTAAGAGATCAATAATGACACCTACTAATAAAATTGATCAATTGTAATACTACACTGGCAGGAAAGTTTTAAAACCATGAATTATTTCCAGAAGTTTTCATCTGGAACCACGGGTGAAGGGGATGACTGCACCCACTGGGCACAGTGACAGCAGCTGGCGCTGGGGGCAGTTGCTGTGAAGATCAAGGCGCGTCCAACAGCAACAATCGCAGGTGCCTGGAACTGTTCTGCACACTTCCTGCTCAGGAACCCATTCAGTGCCAACCGCAGCCAGGGGCGCCAACCTGCCAGGTTCCTCCTGCCCAAGAGGACACTGGGGCACTACCACGCTCGAGTTCATGCAGCAGCAGCAGCAGCAGCCAGCAGAGCTGGGATTCAAACCTCTGTGTGACACTGTCCTGAGGGAGGAACATGTCCTTCCTGTCCTGGGATCTGACACTGAGCCACCTAGCTGTGTCAGGCACGACATGGGGTCAGGAGCTCACCCTCCCCACCACTTCATTACTGTATTTGCTATGTGCCAGCTGCTCCAAGGTTCTTAACATATTAAATATGCTGCAGAGCCCACCAGCAATTAGCTTAGAAATTGGAAGGGGAAAAATGGCAAGCTCGCTCACTCCCTTTGCCAAGGTCTGCCCTGGCCATGTGACCCGATCCACACCTGTTCCAAATCAGGCAGACAGTGGCACACCCCCAGCCCATGCTACACTGGCCTCAAGGGACTGGCAGGTGGCTGATGGTCCTCTGGCCTCCCTTCCACACTGGAGAAACCACTGGGGCTTTTTGGACCCATGTGCTGCCCTCTGACATAAGGGGAAAAAAATCCCAGTTTCTTATTAGTGTGGGTTGTAACATAGTGCAGTCTACTTTTGTTTTCTTTTTGAGACAGGGTTTCACTCTGCAGTTCAGGCTGGTATTGAACTTGCACTGATCTTCCTGCCTCAGCCTCTGCAGCGCTGGGATGACAGGTGTGCACCATCATGCCTGGCTGCATTCTATTTCTTGCACAATTCCTCTGTAACTCAAGTGGTGGGTTTACAGATAGATGGGCGGTCACACCTGTTGACAGTGGATGACTGTCCGAGAGGCCCTGCCTGTCTGGATGGAATGGCCATGGTTTTGGCTGGGCAAGGCTCTCATGTCTACGTGGTATTTTGTGGTGGCACCAACTAGCCCCATACCCAGCCCCCATGTGGCAGGGGTGGGGGCCTGAGCCTTTTGCAGACTCAGACTTGAGGGGCCCATCACCTGCATAGGGGGCGGGGCTGCTATACCCTCATCCCCATGAAGCCGGTCATTCTTACAAAGCAACCAAAACTCAAGCCCAACAACTTCATGAAACATTGTCCTGAAAGTAACATGAGATGCTGGTGTTGGTGATGGAAATGAAGGAAACTGGTTCCAGGAAGCAAAGGGCAGCAGTGTGCGTGGGCAGGGACTCCAGGCTGGCGTGAACCAGCCTTCCCCGGCCTTGGACTCTGTCAGTGGGTGCTCCTGCAAACAGGCAAAAGATTCACTGCAGGAAGTTTCTCCAGCGCAAGAAAAAAATGGGATGGCCTGGTGGTAAGACTGGCCTGGGAAACAAGACTCCCACTTGAAGACATCAGGAGAAGCCAGAAGAGTTCTGAACCGTCACTGCTCCAAGAAGAGGGTACATGAAGCTCTCCCAAGGGCCTGTAAATACCAAAGCTATGCTCTCCGGCTATGAAACACACAACCGGAAATCACTAGTCCTATGACAGTCCCCACAGTTCCCACTCTTATGTCATTTTTTTCAGTGGGCTTGGGAGCCTCTAAAATCTGAGCAGAAAGAATTCTCAACTATTTCACTTGTGCCATGTTCTCGGCAAAGCCACGAAAGACACACAGGCCATGTTCAGGCCACCAGGTGTGTGCACAGAGTGTTCAGGCTGATGTATGTGTGGATTCACATTCTCAGAGATGCATTCGCTCTGGGGGAGAAGTTGAGAGACACAGATTGGGCGTAAGAATTTCCCCGGGATAATCAAATCACAAATACTTAAGGTAATAAAAGCTGACAGCTGAGCAGCATAACTGAAAGCCTATCTGCCAGTGGGGTCCACGAAGTATGTTGTCAAGAAACCAATCCTGTTGCAGTCACACTTCCATGAGCCCAAGATCGCCACTGTCAACTGGTCCCCCCCTTGGAGAGAAGCTGGGCGCTTGGCAGGCTTAAGGGCAGTGTGGACATGCACACCTCCAATATCTGCCAGAAACCCAAGACATCATGTTCCCCCAAGAGGAATCTGCTCCCCAAGTAAGAAA